CAAACTAATTGCTCGGCAAGACACTCGGGGAGACGCACAGCGAGGTGCTCGCCGCCCTAAATAATTGCTCGGCGAACGTCTCCCCGGATGCTCACCGACACAATAATGTCTACAGTCATGGCCAGATGCTCCTCACGTTTAAAACCGAATTTTGCATTATCTTATCGGGAATTTTTGTCGACTCTGCTCCTGTATGTGTGAACACCGCATAAAACTTTATTTCGAATGGTGTAGGGGTGAACGTTTTATTACTTGAGAGTGTAATCCAATGCAGGATGGATGAAATTGGTTTTTTGCTTGCAAAAAAAATATAAAAAATTCAGTTCTCTAAACCAAAGGGACAAAAAGAAAGGGAAAAAATATAGGTCCTTACCAACCCAAAGACTTCAAAATATTGCAACCAAAAAGAAGGTGCAGTCGCGGGTTTAATACTGATCTTTTCGAAACAATTAAGTACAGTCAAACCTGTGTAAGACGGCCACCCATTGTCAAGGAGAAAAGTGGCCGTATAAGACAGGTGGTCGTCTCAGGGAGGACTGATCAAGATGAAGAAAACAAACCATTCCCATCTGCTGAGGTCTCAATCGAAAGTAGCCGCTTTGTTGTTTTTGTTGTTGTTGTTGTTGGTTTGTATTTTGTTTGTTATTTTTAATTTGTTGTTGATTTTGTGCAAGGGTGACAATAAAACGAAATGTGTCAGACAAGGAGGACCGAGTGCTATGGTAAAACAAACATATGGGTCTCCACCACTCGAAGAACAAACGACGCTCTTGTCACAAGTTCATGTTGACGTGCATTGTTGCTTTAATTTGTTACAGACTGATTAAATAGTGATCACTCATCTAACTTACGATTTGTGTATGACTTCTGGGCGGGGCTTATGGGTTATGAGGGATCACACGCTTTCCTCACCAGCAGCTGGAATTTGGTACCTATTGGTCAACAGTGGGAGGGGCCTACGCAACATGATCGGTTGGAGGTACTACCTAACAACAACGACAGGTGATTAGATTAAAACAGCTCGCTCACAACGCCAGGGGCCAATGCACAATTAATGACAAACGTAATTGAGTCATTAAGATGGCCGTCTAAGACAGGTGTTATTGCTTGGTGTGATAGGGGTTGGGTTTTAAAATATGGTGGCCGCGGCCACGTTGGACAGGTGCCCGTTTTACACAGTTAAATTATATAGAAAAAACGCGAGGGGGGAAATGGAAAGTGGCCGTTTGTACAGGTGACCGTCTTATAAAGGTGGCCGTCAGGGCAGGTTCGACTGTATCACACTTTCGGACAAGAGAACATAGATCTAGCTGCGCAGCTAGACGTTGGTCATCATATTGCAACATTTCAATCTTTAACGTACGGGTGAGAAAAAACATGCACGGAAACAATTTTCTTCTCTTAAATTGTTTGTTTTCACCTCCTTTTCTGCTCTCTACTATTGTTCTGTCGTCTGCTTTCGACTCCACTTTCTACTCCCACCCTCTCACCTCCTTTGCAATTTTCTCTGGGCTTCTAACTCTTTCTGCAGCCTTTCAACTGCTCCTCCTTTGCTCCATCTTACTGTTGTCTTTCAGCCACACCCCTGATCTTCTGGTAGGAAAAATCTACCACTAGCCTTCTCGGACAAGGGCGAAAAATCTCGGAGCTTCCGTGTGCAAGTTGCACACGTTAAAGATCCCTTGGTGGTTTAAAATCGATAAGAGTAGGCTTCGGCCGCCACCCGGGCAAAATTCAAAATTTCTTACCAAATGAAAATTGTTTAATGTGTTCCGCGCGCTCATATAGCGCCGTAAAACACTTACCAAAAAAAAGTGATTTGTCTGGGAACAGAGATTCCTTGATTTGCTGCACAGAGGCGTTAACACTAACAGGATACTGTTTAGTCATCTGCAAAGTGCTACTGTTGCAAAATATACTTCCGCAATATTACAAAACGAACTGCAGGTCATTTGTCACAGTTTGTGATTATTCTGAGGTATATATTAATATATTTTTTAAACTGGTAGAGCGATTTCTAAAGTTTTTTGAAGCCAAAGGTAGAACTTAATCAGGGCTCGTTTCAATCCTAAAAGAAGCTTTAGAACCATTCAGTGTCGAGGAGAAGGTGATCGCTCAAACCTACAAGGCGACAAGGGTCTATGGTGTACAGACTCAGAAGCGCCAATCTTTCCCTAATGCTGTCTTTGTTTATTGTTATGTGCATCGGCTAAATCTTGTTTAAAGCTGGCTTGTTCTGGCATATCAGACTGCAGGATACTTTTCACTAACGCTGCAGGCTTTTCAACATTTTTGCCTACACTATGGAACGCATCGACGTTCTCAGACACGTTTGTCTCCAGAATATTCCACGGCCGCCCGAAACAAGGTGAAGCAAGTGGTCTCTTGAATGTATTAAAGAGCGATACATTTCTCTTCGTTTTACACTTTTTAAACAAGCCAAGCAAAAGCAACCTTCCACAAGATGAAACAGATACTAACAAACATCAATCTGTCACTGGAAATGAGGAAAAGAGTAATGAAAAGCAACATCGAGCCAATCCTATTATACGGGTGCGAAGCATGGACAATCAATAAACAGCTGGAAAAAACAATTGTTGCGGCAGAGTTGTGGTTCATGAGACGCATGCTACGTATCCCATGGACAGCTAGAAAAACAAATGAAGAAGTCCTGGTTGAAGCAAATTATAGAAAACAACTTATCACGAATATAAGAAAACGACAGGCAAATTTTTTCGGACACACAATGCGGAAAGAAGCATTAGAGAACATTGTAACAACAGGAAAGTTTGATGGAAAAGAGGTAGAGGCAGACAGAGGGAAAAGATACTGGACAAGATGACAACATGGCTGGGAGCAGCAAGAACAACAGACACCATTGCTGCTTCGAAAGACAGATGGAAGTGGAGGTCCATGATCGCCCACGCCAGTCGGCAAGGCACTGGATGATGATGAAACAGTGTTCATGCTTGTTGACGTTGTGTATGGGATCCTCCAACACAGAAGCACAACGCTCATAGCAGCCCAACAAGCTCTAAAAACTCTTTAAGCAGTTGTCAAGGAAATTAGGAACAGTATAAAAGTCTTCCATCAACTAGTCAGACCACAGAAGAACACACTTCCAAGAGACGCAGACATCACAATGCCAAAGAAATTGCTGCAAAGGAGGCCTATGGTATAATAATTCATCAAATTTTGAGCGTTTCTTGAAGCAAAATAAAATCAACATACCATCAATCGTCGACCCCTTCAAATTCCAGGACTATCAAAAGTCGTTTTTTAAAAAAGTTCTTTTTAATCGTATAGCAGAAAGCTACTTGGTCTTGCACAAAGAGAGATTTAGAAGTTTTATTTTGCAATGAAAGTTTAAGTTTTCTTTGTGTCGTACAATCCAGGGCCTTTATTCAACTCTGAAGGACTACAAATAAACTCGACACAACATTTAGAGAAGTATGCAAAATCCTAGAGATCACACCGACGACACCATCAACCTCTGTAGAGGCTAAACGAAATTTCACTCACTGAAACGAATAAAAACATTCTCATGTTCTGCAATGTGACAAGAGAGACCGAATGTTCTCAAATTTGTGTCGATCCACAAGGACACCACTGACAGCCATGCCAAACTTCGTCTACAGAATAATGGACACCTTTGCTGCAGCAAAAGAACGAAGGGTAGACTTCTTGTTGAAGTAGATTTTCTTCAAGCAGGTAGAGGGAAGAATACATCTCATTTGCCAATACCCCTGACTCTCTTCAACCTGCTTTAAGTTAATTGTGCACGCCCACATTTTAGACCCCCGAGCGAGCCGCCTCTTTTGGTAACCAAACAAAAGCAATGTCAGGATTAAAGATTGTGATAAACGTCAACAGCTGGTCATTTCTGAGCTTATTATCTCAACCGTCAACTCTCAGAGCACCTTAAGATCAACATCGTTATTTCTTAACACATTTGGGAAAGACACTTTTCAGCTAGAGAAGCGACTGAACTAGCTAGATTTGGTAACAATTTAGAAATGGATGGTTTGACAAAGAGCCATTTTCAAGTAAGATGTGCGGGAAATTTAATTCCCCTACTGACAGTTTTCGACCTCGAAAGCCCCTCGGGTTTCCTTTATTAGAAAAACAAATCTTTAGCTTTAAATTATTATACATTTCTATTCAAAACTCCTTACTTTGAAATAAAAGTGAATAATAATAAACTTTATTCGAAAGAATGCAACAATGGCAGGGGGATGCTATTTTAACGTTTTTGCCAGCGTTATTGTAAATATTGTATTAGTATCTGTTGGTATTTTTTAAATAGGATTTTTTTTCCTCCCCCAGCATGCACCAGATGCCGCACGCTGTTTCCATTCTTCGTTCAGGCCAGCCAGGTGTTCCCCAATGATCCTGAAATCTTCTTCGCCAGGACTCACGACCGAAAACTCCAGGAGAAATGGGGAGTCACCGAGTTGCCTTCCCTTATGTTCCACATGCACGGGCTTGGGAACCACCAGTAGTGAGTTTGTTTACTCTTTTTTGTCTCTTTTTTTTCTAGGTTATTCATGCTTTCCTTTTTTCTGTTGGTTGTTGGGTTGTTTTGGTTTGTGTTTTTTTTCTCTCTAAAACTTCTGTTAACTCCGCTATGCTGCACTATGCAGCACTACCATTAAAGGGGAAGGCATACCAATTCTGGCTAGAGCCATGGCAGGAATAGCCAACAGTAAAACTTGCCAAAATTTGTTATCAGATTATGTTGGAACCGAACCTGAGACCTGGAGTCTACGAAGCAAAATTTCTTTTCTTCTTCACATCTCTGATAATGGTCGCCTCCTCCCAGGGTGAGAGGTTGATAAGATAAAGATACATGTAATATGCAAAGGGGGAATTGCAATGACAAACACCAAGCATCGAAGTTTCCTGATGTTCTCGACTATCCACACACACACACACACAAACACACACACACACACACACACACACACACACACACACATAATATATGCACACTATACTAACACACACACACAAACGGACACACACAAATGCACAAACACACACACACACATCAAAACACACACCTTCTCTATCTCTCACACTCAAAAACACTCGAAACACTCTCTTACACACAGAGCAAGCCCTCTGTCGTACACACAAACACACACACAAACACACAAACACACACAAAAATACACATACAAACACACACACTCAAACACTCATACACACACACACACACACACACACACACACACACACACACACACACTCACACGCACAGACACTTACCCATACACACTCTTTTCCTCATTCATAAACCTTCAGACAACCTGTTCACTTGTTCACTTGGTCATCTACTTGTTTACTACCTTAACTTAACCTAACCTTTTAGAGTTGAAACGGTTTGGGTTAGAGTAAAAGTTAATTTGTGGATTGCAGTAGACATGTAGGTCGTCAAGTACAAGAATTGTCTGACAGAGCCATGGTAAACCGGTACATAGAAAAGAAACACCACGGTAGAACGCCAAT